CGCTCCTCACCCTTGCGGACCCGCACGCTGTGCCCCTGCCCCACCAGCTCCTCGCCTTCCCGCCACCTTCCACCCCCGGCAGCGGGCACAGACCCCTGCCGCCCCCGCTGCGGGCGCTCCCACCGCCTCCACGCGTGCCCAGCTGGGGGGACGGCAGGCGTCCGTCCCAGTTAGCACACAGCAGCGGCTGGGGACACCGGGGGCCGGGATAATGGGGAGAAAGAGGCAGTGTTTAGCTAGGGACCTGCAGGGTTGGGTGACGTTCTGGGAGACAGCTTTGCTTTGGTTTTCTTCTAATTCCAAATGGTTTGGTCATCTCCTAATTCCTGACTGTCTTGGATTTTCCCAGCCTCTTGTTTTTTGCCCACTCTAGTCTGCATTCCTCCCCTATTGCCAAAACAGATTTTAATTACGTACTGGAGAGCCTCTCCAATGTATTTTCAGCTCTGCCAGGGAGCTCTGGAGCCTCTCTGCTCGCCTGCAGGTGATGCCTGCTGTTATTATCCGGCCCTATAACTCGCTTGTGCTTCATGGTTTAAAGGAGAGCACTACGCTGCATTGTGTTACCTAGTGACACGCAGATGAATCATTTCACTGATAAAAGGTCTACACAGAATCAGTGTCCTGAACAGCCAGCAAGAACCGCAGGCTCCTCCGGTACTAGATGGAGCTGGCTTGGCGGCATTTGCATTGCGCCCTGAAAAGGGAATATTTCAAAATTCTCTGCCTTCGTTAATCTCCTGGCCTTTTAGAAATTTTATAAGGTAGTCTACTTACAGACTTGCATTCAACCAGAAAGCATTACAAGGCATAAATAAATAATACTCCTTTTCCTATTCTTGTGGGCTGTCTGTTGGTTTGACTGAATTTGCTCAACGATCTCCCTTTCCTCAACTTTGTCATCTTAATAAAGTATTTACGCTTCTTTGCTCCTTGCTAAAATTACCCAAATCCACTGCTGGAACCCAACATACTGAAAAATTAACAGCTCCACAGAAACTCTGCTCTTCCTACAGCTGGGACGTGGACCCAAGCTAGCCGCCTTCGGCTGAGGTGCGGCCATACGGCTTCAGAGCCTCTCCCCATCCGCGTGCTGTGCTGGCTGCACGCAGCCATTCCTTCCTGACCTGCCCAGAAGCAGAAGCTCTAATTATTTTCATTTGCATCAAGAGAAATAATTTTGGAGCCATAAACATAGCCAGCACTTTGAAGTGAAAAAACAAAACCAAAAAGCACCAGGAGGGTTCCCAGCGCGATGCGGGAGGCGACTCCCGTCACTGTAACTCGGGAGATTTCATCTGACTCCCCGGCGCTGCGAGGAACCGGGGGAGCGTCTCCGGTGGGGGTGTGCGACCAGCGGCAGGATTCCATCAGCCGCCGTGACACCGCCAGCGCCCAGACAGACTTGGCGGGCAGCACTGGGCCTTCTAACACCAATGTGTTATCTCCTCTGAAAGCAGATTAAAGCGCTAACTCAGCGGCGACCTTCACCCGGGAGCAGAGCGCTGCCCACTGTGGCCATGGCTGTGCCCCGGGCTCGGACCCCGCTGCCACAGAAACCCTCCGGCAGGTACACGCTGGTGGCTGCCATGGCCATCAGGGCTCAGGTGACCGTCCCCACCGCACAGAGCACCCTGCAGCTTAGAGGAGAACCCCTCTGGGTGAGACGTGCCAACCCTCTGTACGTACCTAAGGCATCTTGCAAGTATTTCTGCCCCACCAGCTTCAGGTATTCTTCGATTGCTTTGGTGGCCAGTGTATTCTCCCTGAAAATGAGATGCTCATTCTCACCACAGCGATCAACTTCAGACATCATCAGGTCAGTCAAGAAATCCTGGAAAGCAAAGCCCACGGTGGGTCACCACGCACTGACATACGCTTCGTTCAGCAGAGCGGCCTCCCCGGCGCCGGAGAGGTCTCCCCGTGGTGAGGCACAAGAGGGAGTGGAGGTGCTGCGGGTGATCCCGTGTGTGCACCCTGTGCCGCCACCAACCCGACTTCTCCTGATTTCTCCAACCTCATCGAGACAAGAGGAGAAATAAATGTCTGGAGAGTCACGACCTTTGCACCCCAAAAAATTATTCATTCCAGGCCTGCACCACATTCGCCCCTCCATCAGTGCCGTTTTTTTGGCTGGGTCTCGTTATCAGCGTCACGTTTTGCGGGTGAAACGTTTTCTCCGCTGTTAAAGCTGGCTGCGCTTGGTGCCTAACCGCACTGGCTGCAACCAGGGGCACACCGAGACGTCACGAGCTGTGCCCCACAGGTAATGGCTGAGAATCAAGCCTGTAATATGCATCAAGCTGCTCAAATGTCCCATTTCCTTACTATTCGTGGAAATAAACAGGACTGCTACAGCACACATTTCGGGCATGCTTTTGGTCTGCGCGATTTTATAATCCTCTGTGCCGCAGAGCAATGGAAGGGGGGGCGGGAGCAGACCGCACGCTGACAGCCGCCCCGCACATCAGTCCGGGCTACTGAATTGAAAATTCTAACAGAAAAACAGCACCTCAGGCTGAGCTCCGTGTCTGCTCCAGCGACAGCGTTATCTGATCGGAGAGGGTCACGTAGCTCCCCATGCATTCTGCTGGAAATCCACTACGTGGTGTAATATTTAGTGTGCTGTAGCTGGCGTTAATGCAGGAGAAATGCCATGCAGCTTTTAATGCTAATACATATTCAGCTTCTGTCCTCTGCACCGCTAATGGGAAAAGCGGCTCTGGGCCCCCACCCCGCTGAAAGGGTCACCCTCCTCCCACCCAGCACCGCTCACCCGCACCCCGGGTGACAGAGGGACGCCCGCTGCTGGCACCCCGTGAATCACAGGCATTAAACCCCTTACTGCTTCCCCATGCGGGACACAGAGCAACACTGATGTACAAATTCACTTCTACGACCAAGGGCACCTTTTTTAAACTGCTTCCCTCTAAAACAAAGTAATCTGCTCAGTAATAACCTTTCACTAAGAAATTCTCCTTCATTTGTCACGGCCGTACCAGACGTAACCCGTTCCTGGCAGGGGTGGCAGGAGCACCCGAGCGGCCACGCAGGGATGCAGGTCCCGTCCTCGCCGTCCCCACGCAGAGCGTGACTCCCAGAGCCCCCGAAACGCTGTGCCCATGACCCAGCCTGCTCCAACCCGGGACACGCAGGTCCTGTTCCCTGCCAGCGGCTGCCTGGGAGATTTGCGAGAGAGGCACTTAGCTCCGTTTCCTTTTTCATACGGACACCTGTGCACTGAAAGTTTAATCAAGGTTCAACAAACAGCTCCACCTGAACCCAAGGGACCCAAATCATTTAATTCACAGGCCCTTCATCCCTGTGCCTCTGCCCCAGCAGAAAGGGAGGTACCTCTCCTGTCTGAGGACAGGGGAGGAAGGCTGATACCTCTGCAGCACCCAACCGACCGATCTCTCCCATTTCCCAGGAGACCGGGACTGGGACCAACACATTGCCGTGACCTTCCCAGAACAGCCTCCAAAAAAGCCAGAGAAGGAGCTTTGAGGGGAAAAAAAAAAAGTCACTTCTATTATTTCTTTAGCCAGAAGATCCCCTTCCTCCGATCCCGCTACGTCAGCAATGCTCCGGCAGCTGCAGAGACAGAAATCCCTCCTGGAAGCAAATCACGCGCCTCCCCCCGCTATTTTCTCTCATTTTGCCCCTTTTATCAGCCAAGCTGGAATGAAACGTTAAACCCCTGCTCAAATCCCGTTAGCTGCTATCTGGGTAACTCCATCACCTTTATCTGCCGGGGTCTCTCCCGGGGTACGTTTCAATTCCAAGCCACAGCTCAGGCTGACACAAGGTGCTGATTCTTAATTAGCAGCCGCTGACCTTGGCTTTGCTTGATTCTCTATCCTGTCACTTTCCCAACATACTAATTATCTCAGGAACACTGAGTTTTATAGCTTCTCTTAGCCAAGTGTTTGCTTTCCCCCCCTCTTGTCGGCTGAGGCCTGGCTGCCGCGGGACGCAGGGCCGAGCTGCCGCGCACAACCCAACCGCGCGCCGGGGCCGCCGAGACCCGGGGGCCAAGTCTTAGCCAGCAGCAATGTGAATTTTGATGATTTTAGCTGATCTACAGAATTCACTAGAATTTAAAAGGAGGCAAAATGCCAGTGCGGGGCTCAACACAAAGCCAGAGAAGATCCCCCTGAAACCTCTGCTGCAGCGGTTATCCCCTACGGAGCGTCCGCAGCGCGACAGCTGAGGCAATGACCCCTTGTTTCCGAAGCGGAAAAGAAAGCTGCTGAAATCCCAAAGAGCTCCATCACGGCGCAGCACCCAAAGCCGGGGTGTACTGTGGCAGAATCCAGCCCTGTTACTGACCAGGGGATGGAGGTGAGAGCCGGGACACCCACCGGCATCCCCCAGACCCGGGCTTCGCACCGTCCCCAGCAGGTCCGGCCTCCCTAGGCGGCAGGAGGCACCATGCCGGGCTGTACCAACCCGCCCCAAGATGTATCAGGGGTCAAAACACCCACAGCCCGCGTCCTTGAGTGAGTTCCTCATCCGAGACCGCTCTCAGCAGCCCAGTGGAGCTCTGCTGGCCGCGGGAAAGGAGCCTCGTCCGTGGGTCAGTTCTCATGACATCCCGCAGTTTCTGTCCCAGGGCTGTCTTCCAGATCTTGCCTTCCCTCCACGCAAAAAAGCCACATCGGCTCCGGATCACACGTCTGGTATCTCTGCCTTAAGTACGCCAGCAGCCAGCACTCGGAAGACACAAATGGAATGCAAATACTTGTCGAGTCCCTCCGGGGGCCTCACTCACCCACATACAAGGCTCTGAATAAAATGCAATAACTAAAGCCAATAAAACTCCCTGTTTCTGAGCAGCAGAGATCAGCAGGGGGTTGTTTTCAGTTAGGGCCCCTGGCAATGGAAGAAAATAAGATGCTTTATTTCATTACATCGGAGTCGAGAGGGGAAGGAAAAGGTCTACAGTAAAAATTAAGGGCTGTGGCAGCATTCTTCAGGCTTGCTCCCGTGTTTATTTTAAGGATATTTGCTTCAGACTGGACACAGCTGAACCTGTGCAACTTCAGTCACTGCACATATGCTGATAAAGAAGAGCAATTCATAAATAAATAAATTCAGAGCATGACAGCACAAGGCTGCACTGGTTTCCAGCACTTCTCAAATAAACCAAGCGTGAGCCCACAGCAGCGTGTGCTATTCCACGGCAGCTCCTCCGGAAACACAGGCAGGAGCATCGCCGCCGGAGTGCAGCCCGGTGCCCGCAGCAGGGACAGTCCTCAGCGGCACCGCGGGGCTCAAACACCCCACTGCAAAGCGCTCCCAGTGCCGCAGCCTCCCCTCCGCCTGCGACACCCGCGCTGCCCTGACGCTCATCTCCCCTCCGCCTCGGCCACAGCACCCTCCGGGCGGCCGTCCCCGGGCCTCCCCGGCGGTGTCACCCCCAGCACCCACCGTGCTTGCAGGGAGCCTGGGTTTGCTCCGTCCGCCTCGGCTCCATCCCTCAAACGTCTCCAGCCTGATTCACCTGTAGCGCAGCCTGAAAACACTCCCATTTTCCCTGGGTTTTGCATCCGTTGAGCTTCAGACGCCGCTTCCCCTGCCCCACCTGGGTGAATTCATCCTCCTGTCTCAAACCACAACCAAACAGCATCTTCTTGTGGGTGAGGAAGTGTCTCCTAACCCCCACCTCGTCCCTCACACCTGCAGCACTTGAGGACGTCTGACTAACTCTGACATCTCAGAGCAGGGCTGTGAGAGCATCCCCCAAACCTTTCCCCGGGGAAGCTGGAAGGAGACCATGGAAACAGGGGCGATGCCCTGGGAATGAGGATGCTGCCGCCCTGCGCCGCTCCGCGTGGGGTCCCTGCAGGTGACCCTTGGATGCTGCTGCCCCGTGTCAGCCGGCATCAGCCCCGTGCCCTGGGGGTGGCCCGAGTTTGAAAAGGCTCAGTGAAAAGTGAAGTCCACCGAGAGAAAACCCAACACCTGCTCACAGAAACAACCCTTCAGTGCCCACGTCAATGGGGCCAAGGAAGCGGACTAATTGCAATGCTCAAACACAAAAAATGAGAAGAGAAAGCTTCTTTGCAGGGGACGAAGCTGGAGCAGAGAAGACGGCTAATTCAGTGACACATCCCCTCAGCAGCTGACAGCCCTGCCTGCCCAGAGCACCGGCACCCCGGCCCCGCACACCCCGCATGGCCGGGGGGACCCAGCACCCCACAGTGCTTGAAACTCGCCGTGCTCGCGCTTGGCAGTGCTGGGAAAGCCCAGCCCACCCTGGTGAGGTGTCCCAAAGGGGTTCAAGGTGCCAGTCCCTGTGCCCGGGGGATGTCACTGGGCAATGCTGGCCCCCTCCAGCTCCTCGGCCCAGAGGGCAGAAAGATGGATGCCCGGCACGGCTGCGGTGGGAGCAGGAGTGCTTCCCAGGCAAAGGGAGACAATGAGCAACACAAGTCTTGCAGGAGGTATCCTCCCCACAACCAGGAAGGATTTTGCACCTCGCCATCCCAGGGACGGTCCTCCAGCCCCAGGGACGTGCCCACAGCCGGAGCACGTGGGGTGTCACCGAGCTGGTGAGACCCGTAGCCCCGCAGATGCCACTTGGGTCATGCACCCCACTGGTCTGGGGCCGATCGTTCCCAATATCGTAACTGACTGATGGGCGGATTGACTTTGAAATAATAAGGTTCCCCACATCACAAGCCTGATTAATAGGATTGACTTAACCTTAAGAGGATTGAATTGATAAAGGTAATAAGATTACTGCTTATTTCAAAGACTAGCCCAGAGTCCAGCTGGGCTTTTATGCAAAGGTGGAAAACACCAGGGGTTGGCAGGGCTGTAGGTTAC